TTAGGCATAAGATTCCTCAGGAAAACAGAACAAAAAGGCAGAGATATCCACTTTAATATTACCGAATGTAAACGAGGATTGGTGATTCGAACGTTCTTGAGGAGCTTGTGGTTTAGACACAATAGTGTGGTCATCAACACATTCCCAAGCCACTTGGTCTTTAGCTAACTGTTCCTTCTTGTTCAATGGCCTTAGCCTCACAGTAACAACAATCTTCTCCTCCCTGGATCTTGAACTTCCACCTGGCGTCACAGCCGGTGTTCTGTCCGTTTTTGAAAGTGGAGTGCCAGGAGTTCTCATTGTTATCTTCCTACAAAAATTGTTTTCATCAGATCTAGCACACCAATATAATTAATTAGAAATTTTATGCAGAAGAATTACTCAGATCTATGTAAAAAAATCTCATATAAGGCAACACTAATCCATAAAAGGTAATCTAAGGTTAGCATAACTTTCCAAAAAAAAAAAAACACTTCACTTCACTAAACTGATTTACAGTGAAACGAAGTAAGAGACCGAACACTTACAGAGGAAACAGAACCAAAGATGTACTCTCGGATCAGACAGTGATGAATACGATAGAAACCAATAAATAAAAGAATAAAAGAATGAGAGTGAAGTAGATAGTGAGAGAGGTTTATAGTCTCGTCTCGTGGTATAGATAATGATGAAGAAGAAGTGAAACGGGTTTTGGGCTCCTTTTGTCTTTTTTTACGGAAGTCCGTGCTAATAGAGAGATTTTGAATCTGAGAAGCCCTAACGGCTAGTTTTTTTCTGCGTTTCTTTTGAGGGGCTTTCTTTTTTTTGTCTGATTTCAAAATCTACCCTCACATTTTTAAATACTCTAAATCACCCCACCCTCAACTTAATTTTCTGAGGATATATATATATTTCTCGTCGTATTTTATATCTGCTTATTTTGTTTATGTTTTTTTGTTGATGTTAGTGGTGGGACGGATCTGGATATCTGAGAAATTTAGAGTATTTGAATTTTGATTTATCGGATCCGTAATTTTAGTATCCGGATTCGGATCTATATCTTTCGGATATCCGTATTTGGATTCAGATCCATAGAAATAATACAAAAAAATATTTTAAAATACAAAAAAACTAAAAATTAAATATAAATTAAATATAATTACACAATTTATAAATATATTTATGATATATAATATTATGAAAATTAAGATATAATATTATAATACTAATTTTTATGTATAAATATTAATATATCAAATATAGTTATTAATAAAACTAAAAATCAATATATTTTAGAAACATGGATCCGGATATTCGGAGCTAAAAATTGTGATATCCGGATCTGAATTCAGTTTGTACGGATCCAAGATTTTACTATCCGGATGCGGATCCGGATAGTAAGTCCCAGTTCTTGTTGATGTTGTCGGATATCTTATTTTC